ATATTTGAGATTCAAATTTGATTGAGAACCACAGTGATAAAATGTTTATTAAAAAACTAAAACAAACAGACATTCAAGTATGCAGACAGGAAATATTTACACTGGTCATTTCCTGCCTTTAAAAAACTCTGCTTTCTTGCAGTTGTTAACTTAAGTCTGGAGAATCTATAATCAACACTGTTTTATAATTCATTCATTAAAAATGATGAACAATGACAAACCTACATATTCCCTTTAACGTCTAAATAAATTAAACCAAATTCATATTTTAGAATATTATGACAGAAAAAAAAAAAAACATTTTCATCAGCAGAAAAAGGCAATGGCCTTCACTAAGACTTCACAGCAGTGGAGCTCAAGTTTACACCATTCAAACACTGTAATTTACAAGCACAACCTCTGTGTTGACTGTGAAACTTTGCACCCTTAAATAAAGCTGATACTTGAGGTCGACAGTAATTGACATATTTGAGTGCTTGCGTGGCTTTGGACTCACTCATGTGTGAATTTGTCGAGTCTGAATGTGGCTGTGGTTGAAATGGGCCGAGGCTCATTCCCAGAGGCTTTCAAACACGGATCTGCCTTTCTGGCATGGCAACAGCACGTTTATTCGGTGACCTAAATAAAAGATTGAAGCAGGGTTGTATTGTTTCTCTAGCATTTGTGTGGTTGGATGATGGTTTGATGGTCTAGAAGGTGAGCAGGCAAAACAACAGTTTTTATTCATGTGCAGATTTTAAATTTTGGGCTCTTCTTGAAGGTTGTAAAGAAGAAGCACATGTAAAGACAATATCCAAACTGCACTTTTTTCCCCCAAGTTATCTCCACTTATGCAGCTTTTACATACAGTACAGCAGACTTTACAGCTGTATAAGTTTTAACTGAGGGATGTGTTCATGCATAATATGAGCTGATTATATACAACATTTTATTCTATACAATTGTTTGTTTGTTTGTTTGCTTGTTTGTTTGTTTGTTTGTTTGTTTGTTTGTTTTTCTGGCTGCAGTATTTTTTATAAATTATGAAGTAATGAGGAACCCTAAAATCCACCCAGTAAAAACTAGTGATTAGAATAACAGTGCTATTAGTAAACGGCGTTACAATCTGCGATTTACTTTTTTCAGTAGCGAGTAATGAAATAAATGACTGTTTTCCCCATTACAACGCCGTTGCCATTACTGACAATAAAAAAATGTGTCACTGTAATGTAACTGAGGTTGTGACATTAGGCTTAGATAGAGCACATTTTCATCATTCGCCAATCAGAGGCAGAGTAGTGCAGGTACTCACACTCAAAACAATGGCAAATGCAACAGGTTCAAAGGTAGCTTTTGCAAACTGTAAATATAAGCAGTACTTTTTCCTAGTTGAGGTGAAAGCCAAGAATGTTTATGTATCATGCCCAGGAAGAAAGAGTTTCTTTGCGTCGATGAAGAGTAATTCTAATCTAGTGAAGCCCCTCACGTCGTAACACCCTGCCACAAAGTTAGTAAGAACACATGTGAGAACATAAGCTCTCTTACCAAAGGAGGAGACAAAGCCAAAAATCAACTAAAACTTGATTTTTCTCCACTGCAAACACTTATTACTCAGGCAGAATTAAACAAAATTATATCTAAGTATATAGTTGAAGACATGCTGCCTTTTTATATTTATTTTATAGTCATTTGACAAATTAGATTTTTTTAAGTAAGGCAATAGTTACTTTCCCTGGTAACTTTTCCCCGGTTACTTAACCTGGCAACTTTTTACTATTTGTGAGAGGAAATACTCTTTTAAAGGAATGTGCCAAGCACTGGTGAAATCCATTTAATCTCATTTGTCAAAGTTAAATAAATAAATAATTTAGCTAAGAATTTTGAACCATCTAGATTTTTATGCTTGAAATGTATGCAAATTAGCAACACGAAATATGGTTGTTGTTTTTTTTATTTAAATATATAACACCCAACGGTGTTATATAATTTGCTTATAATGTTTTTATTATTATTATTATTATTATTATTATTATTGTGTTTTGAAAACTTTAGCTCATCCATGAGAATGATTTCTACAGTAGTCTCATAGGATATAATGAAAATTACAACTTCTTTGATTTCACACTCATAACATCATCATCAAAATATGCCCTTTGTTGACGATGGGTGTGTTCTCTAGTAGAGAAAATGACATGCATGCCTTTATCAGGGTGTCCGCGGGGTCTAAAAATGTCTTAAATTTGAAAAACTACATTTTAGGCCTTAAAGTCTTAAATTTACTGAAATATTGTCTTGTAGGTCTTATCGTTTTAAACGGGCCTTAATTTTCCTTTTCACATATTGCTAACCAATCTGACCAACACCTATTCAATAAATAAATAATAAAACTTTTTTGTTTAAGAATGTAGTTTTTAACTAATTAGAATTAACAAAATTTTTATTTGTTTATTTGTTTATTGTTGTATTATTAAATGTATTAAATTATTTAAAAAAAAAAAAAAAAGTTTGATAGGGCAAATAAACATCTTTTCCAACTGGGCCTTTTAAAAAACTCTTCACCATTTAGTCCTGTACGAGTCTAAAATTTCATTAAATGAAATGAAATTTTATTTCATTATAAATTTTATTTCATTTTAAAATTTAATTAAATTAAATATAAATTTTCATTTTAAAATTTCATTAAATTAAATTTTATTTCATTTCAGCCGTTAATGGTCTTAATGTCCTGAGTCTTAAATTTAACTTTAGACAGTAATTATGCCTCATGTGCATATTTAAACAGCATTTTTTTAAACGTCTAAAACAGAAAGTGTTTGCAACTGCTAATGTAAACTGGGCAATATGATGCTAACTACTGGTTAATTTTTTTACCTGTAGTGTCTTGCCTTAAATCTGAAGACGCCGAGTGAGGGTTGAGTGTCTGTGGATGCTGTTGTTTTAGAGGAGCAGTACAGTAACACACACTTTTTAAAAGAGGATTAAGAAAACAGGTGTGGAGAGCAGGACTCGACTTGTCTTTGTTCATACCAGATCCGTTCAGAGGATCATTCATTCACTGAAGGTGTTCAACGCTTACTATTTCAAACAATAAACCCTTAGGCGTGGTGCGTAAAACCGAACTCTCTGGACATTTCTGTTTCCTTATTGTGCACTTATAAAACTAACAGAGTAATTGGGTGTATTAAATAAAAATAACAGATTTATTAAAGGTCTTTATTAGTGAAAAAAAATAATACTAAACGTCTTCATTTTTTTTTTGGAAGTTTCTTGTATTTTTCAGCTGTTTGTGTTGTCTGTCAGTGGTTACTCATTCCTGGATTGTATTAGTTCTGCACCACAATGAAAACTTGATAGTGTGGGAGCTGACCAACATGTCTTCAATAGACAGTTTTAGTGGCTGTTTCTCTGTTTGTGTGTAGAAAGCGTCCCTCATTATGCATGTGCTTATCACAGCATCAAATCTGATCATCCATGAAAGTGTCAGGTAACTGTTTCTATTCCCATGAGATTGGGTTTCATAAAATGGCACCTGCCTCTGCAGTTCATGCTTCTTGTAGGTAGCAGGTAAGAATAAAGATTTCTTTATAGAGATACTTCTGAAAAATACAGTATTTTACACTAATGTTGAGAAGTTAAGATTAGAGGTCGGTGAAGCTGAATACAGTGCAACATTTGGAAAACCATTTGTGATCTGATTATTAGCATTTATTCCTTAAACAGTGTTGAAAACAGTTGCACTGATTAACATTTAATGAAATCATTGAGGTTTTTGTTTTTCAAGAGGTTTATGTTATAGTTTGGTTAAAAAGCAGTTTGTTGTTGCTGTTGCTGTTGTTATGGAAAAATAATTCACTTAACTTTTTAAATCAAAGTATATTTACCCCAATATTAATATTCCAAAGTCTAAATTGTTATTTTTTCATGGTAAAAAATAAATAAGTACAAATTTTGAAGAAAGGGCGACATGGTGGCTCAGTGGTTAGAACTGTTCCCTCACAGCAAGGAGTTAGCTGGTTCAAGCCTCGGCTGGGTCAGTGGGCGTTTCTGTGTAGAGTTTGCATGTCCTCCCCGCATTGGCATGAGTTTTCTCCGGGTGCTTTGGTTTCCCCCACAGTCCAAAGACATGGGGTACAGGTGAATTGGGAATTGTCTCCCAAATTAAGTAAAAGAATTTCCCAGAATTCATCTTTTGCATATGAATAGAACATATGAATATGAATATAACAGTATGTGAAGTGTATGCATTTTATGTTTATATGTACTGTATATTGTGTAGGTTTATTTATGCATGAACAACGTGTGCATGTAAATGCATATGTAAGGGCTATTGTGTGTGTGATTTTGTATGCATATATGCTTGTACATGTATGCTTTTGTCGGAGTATATATTTGTTGTTTATTTTGCTTTGTTTGTCTGTACATTCTTTTTTGTTGTTTAAGCGCTTTGAGTTGCATGTATGCAGGAAAAGTGCTATACAAAAAAAAATATTACTAAATTTAATGTAGAGATGTCTCTTGACTGTAAATTTTCTCACAACTGTTTTGTCATGAAACCGTGTCTTGTTAAACAGCATTTGTACATATTCACTAGTGCATCCTAATATCTGCTTTCAGTGGTTTCATTCATGCAGTGAGTGTTAGTTTGTTACATTTGCTTTAGCACAGACAGAGTTGGAGTGATGGAGGCACACGCCAAGAATCCTCAGTGCTGGAATGAGGAGATCTGCATGTAATCAGTGCACTGGAATGTGGACAGAGAGACTTCAGAGAATGTGGGAGATGGAGACAGCGGCCATCTTTGTGCTGCGACAGAGAAATGCTTTTGTTTCCATCATTGTCAGCAAACTCTCTCCCTCACTGCTTGTGTGTACAGTGTTGAGGTCTTTGTGTTTATATCTTCATGTCCACGTCAGCGAGTTAACCACATTTGTCGGTCCAAAATATTTGCACACACCAGTCATTTGACGAATAAGAGTTTACAGTGTCCTGATTAAAGAGTGTGTTCTGTTGCTGTTTTCCAGGTCATGGAGAATGCCACTGTGGTGAGTGTAAATGCCATGCCGGTTATATTGGAGACAACTGTAATTGCTCGACGGAAACGGCTTCCTGTGTGTCGGATGATGGCAAGATCTGTAGCGGCCGGGGCAGCTGTGTGTGCGGACGCTGCCAGTGCACTGAACCAGGGGCATTTGGGGACACATGTGAAAAATGTCCCACCTGTCCAGATGCATGTGGAACAAAGAGGTATGAGGCTAGGGATTCTCAATCTAACTTTGTTACAGTGAACTTCTATATAATGTTGTCAAAAGTTGATTATTATTGACATTATTGCAAAAAAAAGAACTCTCATTCTTGAAGTAGTTTGCCCTTGTGTTCCTGGAACTATGGCACCTATTTTACCCATTTTACAAGAGTGTATCTGTAAAGTTTCAGCTCAAAATACCATCAGATAATTTATAATATAGTGTAGAATCTTCTAATTTTGTTGCCCTAGTACAGTTAAGCTGTTTTTGTAGCCTGTGCCTTTAAATCCAAATGAGCTGCTTTTCCCCGCCCATCATTCCCACGTGCATGTCTGCTTCTCCTGCGTTACGTCAGATAAACAGCAGTCAGTGATAGGGACATACTCAGATGAAGCTGAAATATGGCTCATTAGTCACAAATAGCAAGTAAGTTTAATTGATGTATTTGTGGTGGAGTTTATTCAAGCCTTTCTGAAATGATGAGTCCCACACAAATGCCATTTGCAGTAACACGCATATAAATGAACGTTTACTGACTTTATTAAAAACGTTATCCTCTATATCACAAACATGCTTTTAAAAAATGTTTTAAACTTGTAAAATTAATTATTGAGATGCAGACCTCAGAGAGATGTAACATGTTCTGTGGACATTAGTGACGTGCGGTAAGGTTTGTGGCTGGTGAAGCACGACTCTTTTAGGGTTATAATTACAAATATATATTATGCACTCAATATATTTGCCAACTACCGATTGTATTTCATAAATCATTTCAGCATTCTTTCTATACACATGACAGGTACATATTGGTCCAAGGAATTAAATACGCCTCCCAAAAACACCAAGGTGGACACAACAGACAGCCTATAACAAGCGACACAGCATCAAAGCGGTTGCACTCTCTCGCTCACAAACATACATGCACACAAGTGCACACACACATACACACACAGGATCTGCACACTTGTCTTACCTTTACTTGTAAATGAAGTCGTTAAATGACTTGAATTACTTTAAAATGATCGAGTTACCTTCTGTCCTGTCCATTGAAGCAAGCCCTTTAGCTCCGGCACTGGTCATCCATTATTTATTTACGTTTTCATTAAAAGTCTAAGAAATTTTTGAGCTGAGATATTAACGTTACATCCACAATATTTGCAGTCAGTTAGAGCAAAACATAATGTAACAGACTCCCATTGACCTTTACTTTACTAAATAGAAGAAGAGCAACCACTGAACAAGAATAGCCATGAGAGCTCACTTGCACCCCCTTCAGTGCAGCAGAACAACTGCCTGCCTCACCCATGTCTTTTCAGTCCAGCTTTATGTCAGATCCAAACAATAAATAAGTGCTCGGCATACAAGTGCCTTTCCTAACCTCACGTCCCTGGTGGACATGAGTTTACATGTTATTATAGAAACATGGTGTGTGTCAATTAAGTCAGTGGGTGGGGAAAATTGCACTCCTACATCACGTTGCGGTGGGCTTCTGAATCCTCCACCCCACCCCCCTCCTCAGTCGTTAGTTCGCGCATCCTCTACAGTGATTTGTTCTGTAGCAAATAAAAAAAAATATTAAGGGGGCTAATAATATTGACCTTTAGTGTTTGTGTGTGTGCGTGTGTGTTTGTGTGCGTGTGCGTGTGCGTGTGTGTGTGTGTGTGTGTGTCTGTGTGTCTGTGTGTGTGTGTCTGTGTGTAAATAATTAAATATATCTTTCTCCATAAGAAAAATATAACATGAAATACTGTACAAACGTCATTGCTCCATTAAACATCACTTGGGAAATATTTGAAAAAGAATCAAATTTCACAGGAGGGTTAATTCCTTCAACTGTAAATAGATGGCTAGAATGTATATAATAAAATGAATCTGTACCAGTAAAATAAGTTAAATTGAAAAGTGCTCCTAACTCTCTCTGCGCTTCATAAATAATCAATGCTTACTCCATTTATGAGGTGCTGAGCATAATCTTTAAACACACTAGATACTAGAATCTAACTTGACAGATTTTGGCCCAAGGCCCATATTAACATGCATAGTGTTTAAATAGTTATACTTGTAGTTTACAATGTTTGATAGCTGCATGATTTTGATATTTTCAATATTTTTATATGTTTTTTCTGAATCTTTCTCCACAGGGAATGCATCGAGTGTCGTCTTTTTAACACAGGAAGACTGGCTGATAATCAGACCTGTCAGCGCATGTGCAAGGACGAAATCACCACAGTGGAAACCCTCAGTTAGTACACACTCGCAAACACTTCACACACTCGCAAACACTTTACTCACTCAGTGATGGCTTAAGAAAATATGGTAACACTTTATTTTGATGGTCCATTTGAGTATTAGTAGAGTGTCTGCCTAATATCTGTTGATGCTGCTCCTTCAACAGACATTTAACTAACTATAAAAAACTTTGCAAACACTTGACAACTTTCACTAACCCCAACCTAAATGTCTACTTATAATCTATTGAGAATTAGTTAGTATGTAGATGCAACATAACTAACTTAAATTCAACAAACGGTCCATCAAAATAAAGTGTGACCGAAAATATAAATGTCAAAATAATGCAAACTATTAAAATTAGTATTTAATTCATTGGGTCCTTTTCCACTTTTAATTGACAATTCAATAAATACTGCACTTCAAACAGATAAACCATAAGACAGGGTTCCACACAATTCACTCATGTTGTCCTAACACAGATTGATTAAGTTAACCTAATTTATGTGGAATTACCATTTTAAAAAAATTTATTTGTCAAAAATGTACCTAGTACCTAGTAAAAATATTTTTGATTATAGTTCAACCAAAATCAAAAATGTCCTGTTTATTTACTCGCCCTGATGTTGCTGACTTTTCTTTTTCTTCATTAAAACATGAAGGAAGATTTTGAGCCTAAATCTTGGTCTTTGGATATTGATAACAGGGATTGTACGGGTGCTGGAAAATCGCTGATAATGCTTGAATTTGAATGTAGAATTTTCAATGTTTGAAAAGTGACTAGCTTTTATTTGAAGTGATTAATTGCACTCAAGATTAAATGAGTGGAGTTTGCTGTATTTTGAGTGCTGGCTTAAAAGCAAAAGATACAGTATAGGCTAAATAAATATGCTAGGTTTAAACACCCAAGTGGATGAATGAAGGAAAGGTTCAATGACAAAGACAGAGACCTGGTGCCCCCTGCAGGCGGTTTTTGTTTTAATTTAATGTACAAGTCAAAAAGTATTATGATGTAATATTTCGATATTCTACATTCTATATTCATTTATTGTAAATCTCTGTTCATAGCTAATACAACCTGTATATAAATGTTCATAGAACATCCGTCTGTAAATATCACCATAGATTTTTTATAAAGCAAAACAAAAAGAATACTCTTAGTTCTTGACTGTACATAGGGGTTAAACCCTTGGTACACACAAGAAATGTAACATTTTGCAGCTTTATTAACTTCCACAGTCCTGAATTAACTATCACAAGCCGTGCGCAGTGGGTAGCCATTCGCCTCACAGCAAGTAGGTCGCTGGTTCGAGCTCTGACTGGGTTAGTTGACGTTTCTTTGTGGAGTTTGCATGTTCTCCCCGTTTTCTTGTGGGTTTTCTCCGAGTGCTCTGGTTTCCCCCACAAGTCCAATGACATGCGGTATAGGTGAATTGGGTAGGCTAAATTGGCCATAGTGTATGAGTGTGAATGAGTGTGTAAAGATGTGTCCCCGTGGTTGGTTGCAGCTGGACGGGCATCCGCTGCGTAAAACATGTGCTGGATAAAATGGTGGTTCATTCCAAGTGTCTGTATTGACTTTGATTACAATTTGAACTAAAAATCTTCTTTCTTTATTGTATAATTTTTACGTTTGAGATTTTGATGTGAAACTCCAAAAATGAAAAATAAAGTAGCTTAGGTTATCTTATCACTTCACATTGTAAAAGGTGATTAGTTACTTTACACTAAAGTGCGTTAGCCCATTGTCTTAAAAGCGACAAGTTGATTTTACTTAAATGTTGTTGTTTTTAAATAAATTATGCACATAGTTTATTTACTTATTGGGTCTACTCACTTTTTAAAGTCAGCTAATCACTTTTGAAATTGTACGTTAGAAAAAAAAAAAGTCAACATCTTTTTTTAGCGCATGGGGTGCATCTTTTTCAGCTTTGAAGAATGGTTTTTAATGGTGTAATCCATTTGAAAAAAAAACAAATAAACTTTGAAAATATATACTATGGGTGTCACGATTTCAATTTTTAATCGAAATCGATCGAAATTTATGCTCGATTTCGATTATCGAATCAAAAAATAGAATCGTCGATGCTGCCACGCCCCCATGTTACGTCAGCTTGGCTTGCCAGGCGGGAAAAAACACGCTTGTTGAAGTGCTCGTTGAACTGTGCAGACGCAGGAGACCCATCGACAGAGCTTAAACCTTCAGGGCTCGACAATAAGGACTGCCCGATAGCCCGGAGCCAGCGTGCGAGACGCTTGGGTCAGTGTACAGTGGTGCCTTGATGCCTGACAGATCGAGCCAGAGCTGCGTGCTGCGACTGTCTGTCAATTGTGTGCAAATACAATCTTACGGTGCTTTGACACATAGACGTTTGTTTCGGAATCTGTCTCATTTCCCACGTTAGCGTGGTTTGTTTGGCATATATCCAGTAGTTGCGCTCGCATCCGCGCCAAATCAATCAGTCTGAGATCGCCTGAATGAGACGGTCTCTGCCCTATTGAGCGGATCGATTTTTAGTGACAAAACAATGCAATGAACTAACGACCCAGGCTATATCACAGTGTATTATGATCGCGTAATAGCCATATATACGGCTATATGAAGAGAGAATGATGACCAGGGCGAGATGTCATTCTTACCGGTAAATGCGAAAGTGAAAGCATGCTGAAATATTACCGAGAGCTGTTTATCCAGCCTGATCTCGGTTTATCCGTCAGGAAAACTGACCGAAATAACTATCTGTTAATTTTTCCATATTTTAATCGTATAATATCTTGTATTAGGCCTGTTGTTGTTTATTTCCGCACTGACAGCTCGAAAGAAAGATTTACATTGATCTGATGCAGTCTCGGTTCATCTGCTATGTCTCTCCATAATTTAAGCCTATAATGCAGAATTCTAGCCAACGTTTCTTTAATAGATTGATTAATTCAATAGATCGATTTTTATAAAACCTGACAATTGAAATGAGACTCTGTATATATGAGAAAGTCTGACCTCGGCTTTATATTCGGTGACGATGTCTGTGGGTTGTTAAAATTAAAGTGCACATTTTCACTTATAAAATATTCTATACACAAGTGCTCTGAAGTTTGGGGTCAGTATGATTGTTAAATATGTTAAACTAAGCTTCTTCTGCTCACCAAGGCTGCATTTATTTCATCATAAATACAAATTGTGAAATGTTGTACTATAAAATAACTGTTTAAAAGTAGTTTATCATTTAATTTATTCATTTATTCCAGTGATTTTAAAGATGACATTTCAGCTTCATTACTCCAGTCACATGATCCTTCAGAAATCACTAATATTAATTATTATTATATTTATTAATGGTAATAGTAATAAAAGCAATAATGTCTGGAGTAATAATTTTATTTGAAACTACATACAATAACAAAGCAGTTATTTAAAATTTTTATAAATATTTAACAATTTAACATTTTTTACATTTAATAAATGTAGCCTTGATGAACTGAATAAGTTTTCTTAAAAACATAAAAAAAAATACTGTAAATATATATACAGTGGAAGTCAGAATTATTAGCCCCCCTTTGTTGTTTTTTTCTTTTTAAACTATTTCCTAAATGATGTTTAACAGAGCAAGCAAATGTTGATAGTATGTCTAATAATATTTTTCCTCTGAACAAAGTCTTATTTGTTTTATTTTGGCTAGAATAAAAGCAGTTCTTAATTTTTTTATGAACCATTTTAAGGTAAAATTTATTAGCCCCTTAAGCTAATTGTTTTTCAGACTGTCTCCAGAACAAACCATCAATATACAATAACTTGCCTAATTACCCTAGCCTGCCTGGGTAACCTAATTAACCTAGTTAAGACTGCTTCAATCTTTTACTTTCACACTAGTACTTAGTCATTTTAGCAAACACCTCAGATACTGTTGGCTGGTTCCTGTTGGTTGTGCACCTTTTATATACCGACGCCATTATAACGACACAGATCACTGCCTATTCACAAGAAAAAAGTGATTGACAGGTGGTAATTATGTGTGTAACTTGCCTTTATTCATTTACTGTATGATTTGTTTATGGATAAAACAAAGACCATACAGGTCAGGTAGTTTAAACGGTAGGCTACAAATAATTAATTTGTTATTAATTAATTAATTATTCATAATCGAAAATCAAATCGAATCGTGACTTAAGAATCGAAAATGTAATCGAATCGAGAATTTGGAGAATCGTGACACCCTTCATATATACTAAAACTGAAAACATATGTTTTAGATTCTAATAATGTTTTACTCTTTTTACTAGCAAGATGAACAAGATTCTTTCAGACATAAGTATAAGCATATGATCCGATATATAGTGTAATAGCGGGTAATGAGTTTGGAAAATGACACAACTACCATAACTTTTTACTAACATAAATCTTCTTTAACATCAATCAGAACAAAAACTTGAAAAGCAGCAGTGATCATGAAGTAGCAGGGTTTCTGTTTTCCCTCTCATCAGGACACGCTGCTGCTGCTGGAGCCACAGTTTGTGCTTCCAGGTCATGAATGTGTTGCACACAGCAGGGTGAAGCACAGTTTGTGGTGAATCGTAGCCAGCTCTGTTTATGTTATTATCTGGAGAATGTGGCTCTGGACGTCCCAGCAGCACTGGCTGTACACTGTCCCACTGTGAAAGACCGTGTTTACTTCTCTCTCTCTCTCTCTCTCTCTCTCTCTCTCTCTCTCTCTCTCTCTCTCTCTCTCTCTCTCTCTCTCTCTCTCACAGCAGTGCTTTTAATACAAACCACTAATATGAAAAATGGATATCGAAAAAAAATAGCAGATAAATGAATAAAATGTTGATTTTTGGAATTTTTATTTATATTTAGTTGTATTATATTTATAATTCTGAAGTTTTTTAAGAGCTTGGAAGCTATTAATAATGTTGATGAGAGCTTTTTGAGAGTTTTATTGCAGGAGACATTTTTTACATGCGTCTAGGAATGCAAGAATGAATGTTTACTGTTGTGCAGTATGATGCTGGACTCCATCTCCGAGACTCTGCAGTGAAACATTCAGGATGCTTGTGAACTCTTTAAGGCCTTTCCATGTCACCGTTAATTGTAAAAGAAGGCTTCACAACATTTCTCTGCTTTTTCAGTCAGCTGACGTCCTTAATGGAGTCCACATGTGCATACCGGAAACGTCCAGCTCTTTTAGAGAAAGAGGCTCCAGAGTTAAATGACTGTGAGGAAGGGAGAGACTTCCTAGTCTGTAGGGGATTTTAATTATGATAACATTTAAACGTTCTTCATTAATCTGGGTCCTTGTTAAAGAATGCAAGCTCTGGTCCAAAAATAATTCCAGCGTTATAAGATTATGCTCTTGGCTCTCGACCCTGTGTTTCTTTCTCACTTTGTGGCCTCAGTTTGAACATCTGTTTTATTGAACTCTTTTTATTCTTCCTCTTCTATCTGTTTCAGAAACTGACGATCCCAACGCTGTTCAGTGTGTGTATAAGACTGAGAATGACTGCGTGATGAAGTTTACATACTCTGAACATGCCAATGGACAATCAGTCCTCACCGCTCTTAAAGAGCCAGGTCAGTGTTTAGCACTTCATAGCACTACTTCTGAAATAACTGCATTTACAATCACTGTTGAAAAGACTTTTCACCCAAAAAATGAAAAAGCTGTCATTTATTTGCTCATCCCTCATTGCTCCGAACCTGTCTGAGTTTCTGTCTTCCGTTGAACACAGAAATAAAAGAAAAAGATTTTTTTAAAGAATGTTAAAATCCTTTAGTTTAGTTGACTTGCATGCTATTTGTTTACCTACCGTAGATGGCACTGGGGTCCGTTCTTCGTACCTTGCTTAAATGATCTAAGATGATTTGGCAGATTCTGGAACTTTTAATCTTGATAACTGATCTCTGGTTAATTTGGTTCTTCAAAGAAGTTTGCTAATCAGATTAAAATGATTGGATGAACTGATCTGAGATCTCTTTCTAAAAGACAGATCTATCACTCCCCAAAATCATGATCAGCCATGCAACGTAATGACATAATCTGATTAAAATTAAAATGTTATGCAATAACTTTCCATATTTATTGTGAGCTGCAGGCTTTACTCTTTCATATGTCAAGAGTTTTTAGCAATTCATTTATTTTATTTATTTATTTAGTTTTACATTTTAGATCCAATTTTCTTTAGTAACCTAGGACTATTTTAGATTCTTAATCAGCCTAAGGAATTTAAAATAAATTTTGCTTCAAAAAAGCATTTTGAAATTGGTAAAGGCGTCACTTTTGCAAAGCATCAAATCACTGGCATTAGCGGTCAAAACGTGCATGACTGCATTACTTATTATTCCTTAAAAAAAAAAAAAAAAAAAAAAAACAGTTAAATATTGTTTATGTCTATAATCTTCCAGAAATTGTACTAAGGCTGGACTGGTACTTTAAATAGTATGCATTTGTATAAAAAAAATCCATATTAATAAATGTTCTCTTTTATCCCCTTTATATAAAGTTTTATCTTTATATACTTTAAACTTATATGTATATAACCATCAATAAATAAATAAATAAATATATATATATATATATATATATATATAATTTTTTTTTTACTTTTCCCCAAGTGTATATAATCTACAGATTACTACTGTAAGAAAATAGCAGCATTTAGTACATACTTTCAGTGTTACCTTTGCTTGAAATGTCCTGATCTAATCATCTTTATATGAAGCTCCCGAGCAGGTTTGAGCTACCAGAACTGTTGCAATGACAACAACTCTCAGATGACGTTTGAAGAGCGAAACGATCCTGGATCATGTCAAATCGTCTATAACCAAATCCAGCTAATTAAGTAGTCCACGTACGAAGAATGGACCCTTTTTTGTGTTCAACAGCAAAATGAAATTTGTAAATATTTGGAATTACTTGAGAAGGAATACATATTTTGGTGAACTGTATTTTTGAGAATATACCATATTTGAGAAGTGATTGTGGTGCACCATTGTGTTGAATAATTTCCACTCAAGTATCATGTCAAATAATGGGGTTATGCATTTATGTAATGTGTGTGTGTTTACAGAATGTGCCGTCGCACCAAATGCTATGACCGTGCTGCTGGCTGTGGTTGGCAGTATCTTGTTGATGGGCATCGTGCTACTGGCTCTCTGGAAACTGGTCATCACTGTTCATGACCGCAGGGAGTTTGCACGCTTTCAAAGTGCACGTTCACGAGCGCGATATGAGATGGTGAGAGCACTGAGATTGATTGAGGTCATAGAAGTCTGATATTTGTGACACTGTAAAATATATTTAGAATACTTGCTTACTGTTCACAGTGTGCATGTTTTGTCATAAATCAAAGCTCTAGTATCACTAAGAATATTCGTTGTGCATCTAAAGAGTTTAGATGCACAAACCTCAAATTCCATCTGGAGTTTTTTTTTTTTTTTTTTATCAGCATCTTACGTTTATATTGAGGTATTTCCTGTTATATGCAATGAAAATAGTGTATTATTTACCATAAAATTAATATTCTTGAACCTAGATTTGAGAGAATAAAAAAGAGGCTCATTTTAGAAGACAATTTCAGGTGACACTTAGAGGTTTTTGCATCTGAACTCTACATTTATTTGGTTATATTTAAGTTGTAGTTAGAGCTTGGTGATTTATCGAAATGAAATCACAAACATGGTTGAGCAAAGCTGCTATTCTCATCCACATCTTGTCAGTGAAGCACAGTTCTGTGATTAGTAGTAAATCTCCTCCGAAGACCAGAGGGGACTCTTGTGCAGAAACACTTACCAAGAGGAAACCTAGGAAATCCCCATAGTGTTGCATTATAAACAGAAGATTGAACTGCTTTGATTGATTCAACGTGACTAATATTCACATGACTATTGAACATTATAATTATTAAAAATGTTATTATACATACAAGAATAGCACAACTTTGAATATCTGTATTTAATCAAACAAATATGATGGAGCCTTGGGTAATTAATTATTGTGAAGAGTACTTCAAGTTTTTTTTTTCAATAGAAAACAAGTTTATAGTTGTTCAACATGACCCCCTCCAGACACTCGAGTAACATCAACCCGATACTTGAACTCGTTACACACTCTCTGTAGCATCTCGGGCCTAACAGTTTGGAAAGCAGAAGTTATTCCTTCATCTAGTTGAGCAACCAAATGAAACGTCAGAGCTTCCAAAAATCGACACTCACATTCGCACACATACACTACAACCAGTTTTGTTTACCCAATTCACTTATAGCACATGTCTTTGGACTGTGGAGGAAACCCACGCAAACGTGGGGAGAACATGCAAACTCCACACAGAAATGCCAACTTGAACCAGCAACCTTCTTGCTGTGAGGCACCAGTGCTAACCATGGGTGTTGTTGGGCCTAAATAAACTTATAAACTTATAAACTTGGCTTATAAACTGTACACTAAATTATCGCCTCAGTCCTCTTTAAATCTGATATGAAAACAGCGGCAGAATTTGGCTCCTCCCCATATTTAGTTTTCCATTTATTCAGCAAACCACAGCTGTGCAGAGCGAGAGAAGAAGGTGTGTGTTCATCGATAACTTGTTATAATATCTGCTTATTTGCTTTAGATATACTTGTATCATTTATACCAATCACAGAGGAGCAATCGGGTTTCCAATCTACTGTCTCCTCAGTGCTCACCTTCTCCAGCGAAAATGTAACTCTTAACAAACATATTGCTATTTTTATTTCAAAATGAACCACGAATATAAAACACATCACAGTGTATGTGGCATTAACTAGTTTATACAATACAGTCATGCACAGACAAGATTGAACACAGTGACAGAACCACTTAGTGAATGTACTCATTTTAACTGTCAGGGTCACTGACAGAGATACAATAGACACATCATGTGTTGTCTTATATTAAAAATGATTCAGATTGTTAAATGTGTTAATTAGCCTCTAGGCCTGAAACAATATTTATACCATTTAATTAGAAAAGGGCAGTTTTGTTTATTTAATACATGGAAACATTTAATTAAATAATTATTTAATACACTGTACTACAGTAAACAGTCGTGTTGAGCCTATTTGGCTCATTCAGAACTCAAATTGCTATGACTGTCTATACAATCGAGTGCTAGTTTAGCATGCAACCTTACCATATTAGTCAAATATTTTTAAATGCTTTACTGTTAAAGTATTACTTATATGTGTAATATTAGGCCACTATGCTGCCTAGAACAGACTTTACTGACAAAATCTTCATGAAATGTTCCTTTGATTAATCACACGGCTCTAGTTTTAGCTTAGCTTATTAATAGAAAGATGTTTTAAAGGGGCTTTGCAAAAAGTGATTTGTACTCGCCAAGCACAAAATTGATCACACGTAGTAAAATGTGTAATTATGCAGTTTTATTACAAGTTTATAGTATCTGTTTCCATTTTGTTGTATTGTAAAACACAATTTTTTACAGAATTTTTGTATTACTCCTGTGTTAAGTGTTACTTGATCCTTCAGATATCAGTTTAAAAATGTGTACTTGGTTCTCAAGAAACATCTTGTTGTTATTATTAATGTTAAACAGTTGAACTGCTTACTGTATATTTGAAACTAATACAAAGTTCAAAAGAACAGCAATTATTTGAAATGGTAATGGGAATGTCACAATCGTCTTGATTTGTTCCATTTAAAGGGCACCTATGTGTCAGGGTTCTGCCACTTTGGTCTTGTAAATTCTTGTTTTGGTGGCAGAGCTCTGACACTACTCCACGTCTGGTCCTGTTTCTGTCTCTGTGTGCGCGCGCGCGCCGTCGTGGGTGTACGCAGAGTGTGCGCGCTGCCACTTGATGTGGCCGCGCACGCTCTGCGTCCCTCAGACGCGCGTGCTCTTGTACTAGTGTTTGTGTTTGTTCTGTCAGCAGCGCGCTGCTTTATTCTCGGCGCCTCCGTCTAGTTGGTTTCAGTTTTGGTTGGCGCTGAGATGAAGCATGCGTGTTGCTTATGTGTGAGCGCACGGTAAGGTATTTATCTATCGTGTGCTCGTGTCTTGCGTCTCTTGTCAAAGCACGTGGCTTGGTGTTTACATTGTGGTCACGTGCTTTTGTCGTGTGCTTCAGTGTTGCGTTATGTGAGCGCATGGCTTGTATTGTCTCTCTGTGTCATGCGCTCTCCCGTCTATTGTCTAGTCCCACCCTCCTTGTTAACCCATATTTAGTTAATTGTGTTCACCTGTGTTTCAATTTACTTTTTTGCTTTATAATCCCCCTCATGTTTTCAGTCCTTTGTCAGTTCGTCGTCAATATTACCCTGTCGTGTTGTCTCTAGTCCTGTTTTGTCCTGCCAGCCCTGTCAAGTTAGTTTTTGCCTTTTTAATTCATGTTTTCCCCTTCGGGGTAGTTTTGTTTTGCCTTTTATTTTTATTTGTAGTTTGTAATAAATATTTCTACATCTTTTCTGCAATTGGGTCTGCACTCCTTTTTTCCCTCACCGACCGTGACAGTACGAACTGACCAAAATGAGGACCCAGCAGAAGGATGACTCCTTCCTCAGCCACATGCCACAGCTTCTCCGTCTGCATGCGCTGCGGCAACATGGCTCTGAGCTAAAGGAGTTTGCGGAGAGGTTCCGTATGGCAGCAGAGGGGCTTGGGTTCAATGACTGGGCTCTTTTGAATCTCCTGAACTTCGCTCTTGATAAACCCCTCTATCCTCTGCAGATACAGAGATTGGTGGGCTACTCGTACAAACAGTTTGTGGACCATATGGTTAATCAAGTTGCCCATGAATGTCGTCAGGAGAGAATCTGCTCTGTTCTTCCACCAACAGACCAACCTGAACCCAGCTCACTGCTGCCTCCCACAGAGAAGAGGAAACTGAGGAGGAGGAACAGGTCTTCCTCTATTGTTACCCCTCTATTGGTGACGGAACCTGCTGCAGCCCACCCAGCTACAACACTGGCTGCAGCATCACCCAGTGAAGCACCCGCAACAGACACTGCATCAGTCCAGCAGGCAGTGGAGTATGCTGCAGTGTCTGAAGAGGTGGCCAGCTTCCCGCCACCCAGACCAAGGAAGCGTCGGAGGAGAAAGGGCTCCTCCACCACAACGGCTCCAGCCCCTGAGCGCCCTCCAGTGTCGGCTCCAGCCCCTGAGCGCCCTCCAGTGTCGGCTCCAGCCCCTGAGCGCCCTCCAGTGTCGGCTCCAGCCCCTGAGCGCCCTCCAGTGTCGGCTCCAGCCCCTGAGCGCCCTCCAGTGTCGGCTCCAGCCCCTGAGCGCCCTCCAGTGTCGGCTCCAGCCCCTGAGCGCCCTCCAGTGTCGGCTCCAGCCCCTGAGCGCCCTCCAGTGTCGGCTCCAGCCCCTGAGCGCCCTCCAGTGTCGGCTCCAGCCCCTGAGCGCCCTCCAGTGTCGGCTCCAGTGGCATCAACCAGACGTCTAGCCCTGCCGGCCCCAGCCCGGCTCCTTGCCCTGCCGGCCCCAGCCCGGCTCCTTGCCCTGCCGGCGCCACCCAGACGTCTTGCCCTGCCGGCGCCACCCAGACGTCTTGCCCTGCCGGCGCCACCCAGACGTCTTGCCCTGCCGGCGCCACCCAGACGTCTTGCCCAGCCGGCCACAACCCGGCTCCTTGCCCTGCCGGCGCCACCCAGACGCCTTGCCCTGCCGGCGCCAACCAGACGTCTAGCCCTGCCGGCATCAGCCCGGCTCCTTGCCCTGCCGGCGCCACCCAGACGTCTTGCCCTGCCGGCGCCACCCAGACGTCTTGCCCAGCTGACCCCAGCCCGGCCCCTTGCCCTGCCGGCACCACCCAGACGTCTTGCCCTGCCGGCCCCAGCCCGGCTCCTTGCCCTGCCGGCACAACCCAGACGTCTTGCCCTGCCGGCCCCAGCCCGGCTCCTTGCCCTGCCGGCGCCAACCAGACGTCTAGCCCTGCCGGCACCAGCCCAGCTCCCTGCCCTGCCGGCTCCCCTCTGGTCTCCAGCCCTGCCGGCTTCAGCCCAGCCGCTTCTAGCACAGCCGGCTCCCCACAGGCCTCCAGCCCAGCCGGCTCCCCACCGACCTCCTGCCTTGTCTCCCCTGATAGACTCTCCCTGGGTCGTCCCTCCTGCTCCTCCCTGGTGTTCCTTTCCTCCACCCTGGACGGACCCACCGGCTCCACCCTGGTTCCCTGCTGGGGCTCCTGACCCGCTGGACCCACCCTGGACAGTTCCTCCGGTCCCACCCTGGACTGATCCTCCCTTGTCTTGCCCTCCCATCCCTCCCTTGTTTGTCGTTTTGGGTCTGGCTTGGCTTCCCTCCCTCCCCCCCTTCATGTCGTCTTGCCTGTTCACCTCCCTGTCTTGTGTCTGTTGATGTTGCCAGTTTTGTTGTCTCGTAGTGTTTCTTGTCTGTCTTGTACCTTGTTGGATGTTCCCTTTAGGGACGCCAGGTGGCGTCCCTTTTGGGGGGGGCTAGTGTCAGGGTTCTGCCACTTTGGTCTTGTAAATTCTTGTTTTGGTGGCAGAGCTCTGACACTACTCCACGTCTGGTCCTGTTTCTGTCTCTGTGTGCGCGCGCGCGCCGTCGTGGGTGTACGCAGAGTGTGCGCGCTGCCACTTGATGTGGCCGCGCACGCTCTGCGTCCCTCAGACGCGCGTGCTCTTGTACTAGTGTTTGTGTTTGTTCTGTCAGCAGCGCGCTGCTTTATTCTCGGCGCCTCCGTCTAGTTGGTTTCAGTTTTGGTTGGCGCTGAGATGAAGCATGCGTGTTGCTTATGTGTGAGCGCACGGTAAGGTATTTATCTATCGTGTGCTCGTGTCTTGCGTCTCTTGTCAAAGCACGTGGCTTGGTGTTTACATTGTGGTCACGTGCTTTTGTCGTGTGCTTCAGTGTTGCGTTATGTGAGCGCATGGCTTGTATTGTCTCTCTGTGTCATGCGCTCTCCCGTCTATTGTCTAGTCCCACCCTCCTTGTTAACCCATATTTAGTTAATTGTGTTCACCTGTGTTTCAATTTACTTTTTTGCTTTATAATCCCCCTCATGTTTTCAGTCCTTTGTCAGTTCGTCGTCAATATTACCCTGTCGTGTTGTCTCTAGTCCTGTTTTGTCCTGCCAGCCCTGTCAAGTTAGTTTTTGCCTTTTTAATTCATGTTTTCCCCTTCGGGGTAGTTTTGTTTTGCCTTTTATTTTTATTTGTAGTTTGTAATAAATATTTCTACATCTTTTCTGCAATTGGGTCTGCACTCCTTTTTTCCCTCACCGACCGTGACACTATGATGAAAATCATCTTTTGTAAGCTGTTTGGACAGAACTGTATAGTGTATAGGTATAGTGTGTCCACTGTCGTATTGGAGTGATAGAAACACAATAAGTCTCTTTTTTTTAATTACCCGTGGTTAAAATAATATAAAAATCTCTTTGATTTTAAGGGATTACAGTAGTATTTCTCTTAAACGTTATGTGAGATCTGCTTCCTTCATGTCTGTCACTGTGCTGTTTATCTGACACAGCCAAAGCAGAGATTGAGGCACACTCTTACAGGCACGTGGGAACGCTGGGCGGAGAGAACTAGCATTAAAGGCACAGGCAACAAAACCAGCTACATTGTGTTCAGAGCTGTTAATTCTAATATTCTGAAAGGTATAATAAATAATCTGAGTGTTTTGAGCTGAAACTTTACAGACACATTCTGGAGACATAAAAGACTTATCTTAAATCTTGAAAAGGGTTGATCATCCTGCCTGAATAAAAGTATTAGTTTCTTTCAGGTAGTGAATCTGTGATCTAATTTAATAAATTTAAACTGTTGGCAAGTTATTAAAAATGTAAATAGCTTAAACTGGCGGCTTTATGCAGTCACAAGGACAAAAAAACAACTAGGCTTTAATTAAATCCATGAGGCCTTTTGGAAAGCGTCAGTCAGCTGGGAGTGTGGATCATTCATGATGATCATTCCAATCCTGTGGTTCAAAGACTGTTTGCCTTTCCCTTCTAACCATGTGCATTTCAATGAACCCCACTGACCTATTTACTCCCCACACTCTCTCTTTCTCTCCTCCTGTCTTCCTCCCAGGCATCTAATCCAGTTTATAAGCGGTCCGTACCAATGGAGACGGATTTCGATATGCATGGTATCAAGTCACTGAACGGAGGAGTCCACTGATTAAACGCCATTTGGACTGAGGGACATGGCAGGACCTGTCCGGTGCACATCTGCACTACAGTGGAGCACAGAGATGGGATGGATTTTATGGTCTGATGCAATGAAAACTTTTTGGTGGATTAGTGGTTCATGAGGATTGGAGATGACAGTAATGAAAGTCAATTTATGAGCGGCATTTGGACACATGCTGAATTTGAGAAAAGGATTTTAAGGGCTTGCCCGCTTGACTTCATGAGCGATGGACATTGACCCACTATGGACCGCTTGCTTGAATATAATTCGTCATTGTCTTCATTTCTAACCGTACCTCCCACACATTATGATGGATTTTGCAGTGCATTCTTTTATAGGCAAAAAGACAAGTGTATATTTTTTAACATTGTGCCTTTCCAAGCCGTTACACTTTTTATGGGAATTAAATATATTTACATGTGACATTGTACAGTAGACATCATAGAAAACAAACAAATGCAAACTTTACATCAGCTCTTTAATGAAGAGAAGGGTACTAACATGACCAGAGCAATAACTGTCTTAACTCTTTTTTTGCACATTGTGTATTAGGTTGAGGTTTATAAAGTAAAAAAGTCACTCTACAATGAAAGATTGTGTGTGTGTGTGTGTGTGTGTGTGTGTGTGTGTGTGTGTGTGTGTGTGTGTGTGTGTGTGTGTGTGTGTGTGTGTGTGAGTGTGTGTGTGTGTGAGTGTGTGTGTGTGTGAGTGTGTGTGAGTGTGAGTGTGAGTGTGAGTGTGAGTGTGAGTGTGAGTGTGAGTGTGTGACAACAGTACATTGTGATGCAATAACTCTGCCTGCTGATAATTCAAGCATATCTCATTTGTGTTTGGAACAATTACATCCAGACCCATCCCATCAAGAGCTAGATGTCAGACTGACCCTGTTTTTAAAGGTTCAGTAAAGTAAGTCCAGTTTGCATCTACTTTAAAGAACAGCAGATGCGTTATTGTTTTATTTATTTTTTTTTTTTTGATGTTTAAATTCATTGGAATGAAAGTAAATGCCAAGTCTATAGACATGTTTTTTTAAAGGTGCTGTATGTAAGTTTTTGACTCTTCTAAAGCATAAAAATAACATAATATGTTTGCAGATATTTAAGAAACATGCCAAGTGAACATACTTGTTTATCTGAAAAACAATGATGGAGTCAGATATTCTGCTTTGAAAATGTGTTTTCCGTGCCAGAACGCTGTCTTTGTTTTGGTTATTTTCACCCACCCGATGGCAGTTTAACCAATTATATTTCAGCACCCCGGGTTGCCTGGGCAGAAAACCGCGTATTTCATTCTTTTATTCAGAAAGGCTCTAAAAGCATTCGTCCGTGACCGAAATGTGACCTCCGGTGGACAGTAGTAGACCGAAATGAGATGCAGATTCAGAGTTCCACAAAAGGTTATTGATTAGCAAATAATATAAATATTATGAACATAACTATTAGATGAGCAGGTTACTTTGTAATCATGTGTCCTAACAACACGCTTCTTGACGAGATATGCAGTGATGAGCAATTTGGCTGTTTGGGTTTGTTTTAGGGTTAGGTTAGCTGTTTGCACCAGAAGAAACACGACAGAAGTTTAAATACAGCAATTCAGAAGCACAGGATATGCACTCACTCACTAAATGGTAAGGTTTATTATCTATTTAATACATATTAAACCTCTTTAAAATTATTAAATGTAGATGCTGAATTACTCGTGTGTTTAGGTCTAAAGTTCAGTTTCAAACGGTTTATTTTACTTATAAGATTTGAAGTGAACTATCTGCTGCTGCTTTCAGTAGTATGACAATTAATATCATGTAAAATGGCATTCAAACTTACATCACTAGCATTTAACACTAAATAAAGCACATGAGATTTACCAGAGGGGATCATTGTCGGTTTTCTTTTGTTTACCTGTGACAAATAGAGGCTGTTTCTAATATATCAATTCAAGGTGTTGGTTAGGACAAAAACTCCTTTCAATATGGAAAATTTTGCAGATGCTGTTGCTTTTATTTAGAACAATGTTTAAATCACTTTCTCCTGTCCTCAATCTAGCAACCTGTCCTTGTGTTAGTTTTGATCCAAGAGTGCAATGCCTAGTTTAGCCACTGGGTGTCAAACTTACATACTGCACCTTTAAGTGAAGTTTCACAAACTAATTACGAGAGGAACACGGGATATGATTGATCGCCGCTGGTCTCCCATACATAATCATTAGTAAGCCAATCGGATTAATCCAAACTCACTATAAATAGCCTGTCTAGTATTACTCCCTTATCTTCGCTTTATGAAGAATTCCCCATCCATTACATGCTCATCAACCAGGTGGGAGCCCTGGGTTCAATTATCTCTGGGTTTTCTGCCGGGATAGCATGCTGAACCTGTCAATGTTATCAAGCAATATCTAAGTGCGAACTTTTAAAATGTTATTAATGGGAAACTAAAAAAGCTGCATGTGTATTTCAATGAGAACAATTTGAGAAGTTGTGCTTTGGCACTTTTTTGTTGTGCTGCATGAGTGTGGTTTGTGACATCAGTGTACATATTAGTTGTGTCCAGAATTGCATTCATACTCTTGGGCACTATTTAAAAGGGCAGCCAGTTGTAGTTGTGTCTGTAACCATACTGGACGTTATTTTATCTAAAATTAGCTCCCCCAAAAATTCCATTCCAATCCCCTGAAACCCTCGTTCCTCTTCAGAACACAAATTAGGATCATTTTTATGAAATCCGAGAGCTCCCTCATTCTTCATATACACTTCCTGACAAAAGTCTTGTTGTTATTCCCAGAGCACCAAATAATAACTTGACTTTTTGTTGATCATTTGGAAAAGTGGCAAAAGGTCGATTTTTCTGATGAATCATCTGTTGAACTGCATCCCAATCATTACAAATACAGCAGAAGACCCAAGATTCTCATATAAATCAGTCAAGTTTGGTAAAGGAAAAGCCATGGTTTGGGGTTACAGTCAGTATAGTGGCGTGTGAGAGATCTGCAGAGTGGATGGCAACATCAACGGTCTGAGGTATCAAAGCGTTTGTGCTGCCAATTACCATTACAAACCACAGGAGAGGGCAAATTCTTAAACAGGATAGCGCTCCTTCTCACACTTCAGCCTCCACATCAAAGTTCCTGAAATCAAAGAAGGTCAAGGTGCTCCAGGATTGGCCAGCCCAGTCACCAGACATGCACATCATTGAGCATGTCTGGGGTAAGATGGAGGAGGCGTTGAAAATGAATCCAAAAAATCTTGATGAACTCTGGGAGTCCTGCAAGAACACTTTCTTTGTCATTCCAGAGGACTTTATTAATAAGTTATTTGAGTCGTAGAGATGTATGGATGCAGTCGTCCAAGTTTATTGATGTCATACACAATAATAATTCATTTCCACTGCACCATTACTTAATATTCTATACTGTCCATCATTTATTTTAAGTGACAAGACTTTTATCAAACCAAAGTCAGACCTTACTGTCTCGCCTTGGTTCCTTTTATGGACTTTGAACGTCTCTGGACTGCTGCTGTCTATAGAGGATGAGGGAGCTCTCTGATTTCATCTAAAACATTTTCATTTGTGTTCCAGAGAAGATTGGAGGTCTTAGGGTATTGGAATGACGTAAGGGTGAGAAATCAATAACATAACTTTAATTTTTGATGGAACTAACCCTTTAATGTATACACAATCACAGAATGCATCTTAATAGACATATATATTCAATGGCTCCATCCATTCAGAGGGTTGTTCTAAATGAACTCTCATATCTGGCCAGATAATGTCTCCTACAGCTGAACCATCCATCTCTTTTCAAGACCATTAGTCCAACTGCAGAGTATGACCAGAGGTATGATTTCCTTGTTATTTATCTGTTTGATGAACATGGATACATGTTATTTCTATGACAGATTTGATGCTGAAAAGCCACAAGAAACAAATGTAGCATTGATGTCTGTCTTTTGTGTTTACATGGTAAAAAACTGGAAAATCAGCACAATGGGAGGAGAAAATGTGTTCTGTGTTTAAACTAGAGTCACACAGTATGTTTACAAAATATGTGGGGATTTATTCTCTTTTCTTCCAAGTCAAGATTGTCCTTTTTAGACCTTTAGACGGTTGTGGAGAAAAAGGAAGTAGCATTCATTCAGAAAGCAATAGTCAAAACTACCATAAGTTGCAATAAGTAATACAACTGACAGTTTCAAAGTCAGATTTTGCAGAACTAGTTGACATGCAACGTGTTTAATCCCCAAATATTCAATTACACCTTGCATCATGTGTATTTGGACAGATAGATAAAGACTGGCCCAGTTATGCCAACTTTCACACATGCTTACAGTATTATGGACTTTTAGTCTGATGCTAACAAAACATGTCAGCACAGCAGGGAGTGACACAACCAGCTTTTTATAAGCTGACAGGAAAATCTGACTTAATGCTGAAACGATGTGACAGCCTTGATCTGAGCGCCTAGAGAGAGCCAGGGGTTTCATAGGCTAAAGTTTGCTTAGTTTATTTCTTAGACTTGTTTTTTTTTCTGTTACTATTGATAAAAAATGGGCAGCCTGTTCTGAGTTTCAGAGGGGTCTATGGGGTGTTTATTTTCAGCAGTTGGAGAGACTGGGAGTGTAAATCAGCCAGTGTGTGTGTGTTTTGTGACATGTTAAAGGCCTCAGGTCTAGTTGCAGAGAACAGCTGTGTTTGCGATGAGGAGACTGAACATGCCTTTTGAACTTGGAAACCTGTTTTAGTGCCGCTTTACTGTGAAAACCACATGAAACTGTGCCCACAAAACACCTTAAGCTTAAAAATGCATAAAGTTAATTAAGAAATAAAAATTTTGGATCAAATGGAGGTTGTAGCTGATCAGTACAAACAATCTGTCTTTTATTTCTTCACTTTTATTTAATTCTGTTACAAATTAATTTGAAGACAAAAATCACTTATTTTACATCTTAGATATCCAGTATAGATACAGGCCCGTAGCCAGCCTATTAAAAGGGACCAGTTTGCAGTTATTCAAGGTTCAAATACTGCGTTTTAGTGACATTTTAAACACTAATTTTTGCTGGATTGGCTTTAGTTGGATGGTAATCATTTTGACACTTTTTGATGCAACAAAACTATTTCCTACATTTTTGTCAAAGTGCTTATCATACTATTTTTAGTTTACAAAAAAATATATATTTACAAAAGTGTATTTAAACTAAGTTATTACAGTTTTATATATAATGTAATAAGATCAGTATTTTAGAAATATGAAAAAAATACTTATTTTTAAATGCTAATGTATCATCCTCTATCATAAAAAACAAACATACAACTAAAAAAATGGGAATCTGTTAAAACTCGTTTTATGTTGGCAAAAAACAAACTGGCCAGCTCATTTCCTCAGTCAGAATTTCTCCATTTAAATACTAAAAGCCTTCTTTTATTGGTTATATTATTGGTTATTCTTCTTAAAACCTTCTTCAATTGGATATTTTAACAATTTATGATTGCATACTGTCAAAAACAGGACAAATGAGCTCATATGGGGTCAAATTCTGGACTTTGTCAGAAGGGGGGTGGGTCTTTCGAACCACCCGAACCCTCCCTGGCTACGGG